GAGTGATATATATAATTAAAAAAATCTTAACATGGTCTTATTTGCTTGTAATAGTCAATTTGATTAATAACCTGCATTAGCGGCTTGTAAAAAACTATTTAGTAAGTAGAAGTTTGTATAACCACTATAGAAATTTTATATTCACATTGTTATTCTACAAATACTCACTTGTCCACATTTATATATTTGAGCTTTTTTAAACTAGCACTTATACGGCTTACCGTCTTATATTGTAATATTATTTTTAATTATATCATTAAACAACTTTGTAGTTAAATTGATTTAAATAATTTTATTTTTTAATTAATATTAATAGGTAATTTAATTTTTATTATAAAGATAAATATATTTATTTATTTTAGTTATATAAGCTATTTACTAAACAAGTTATTTAGCGTATTCGACCACTCAAAACTCTGAATGAAATTCAATTCGTTAATTCTACCTCAATCCTCTAAAATACAAACGAATCAATTACCCATTGGCTTGATATTTTTGTGTTGAGCATGAGCCTGAAAATTGTATGTGGATAAAAAATGTGTGGTGATATAAGTAATTGAACAAGTGGGCCTATACTAAGTGAAAATACCAAAAGCCCACGTCAGATTCCTTGATTAAGTGGGCCTATACAAGGTGGAAATGCCAAAAGCCCACGTGAGATTCCTTGTCCACGGTCTCTCAATTTTTCGTTCCATAGTTTCAAATGACATTATTGTCAATATTATTTTTTTTTTTGGGGTACACTTATTGTCAATATTTAATTGCACACAATAAGTTATTTCATTCACACGTGCAATTGAATGGCTCTTAATAAAATTATTACTTCATATGGTGGTAAGTGTTGACTGTTGAGTGGATTGGACGAGTTCTTTGACCCATCCACCCTAATCAACAATAGTTACATATGGAATATTTTATTCTTCTCTAAATTTTATTTAATTTTCTTAAAGAATATTTTATTTATATATCAATTTACAGCTATACATTTTTGTAGAACAATAGAATTTGCAAAATAATTCTTTTGCATATTATTATGTATTTTCTTCTTTTAATTATTTTAAAAAAAATTATGTTTTTTTTTTTTTTTANTTGATTTTTATTTGTCATTTTTTATATATTTATTTTATTTATAGGTATATTTGTTTTAATTCATTTTGATTATGCCAAGTGGTGAATTATTTTTTAATCAACTATCCCAACATTAAGGTGTCAGCCATCGACAATTAGATAATTTCTTCAAATTAACTCAACCAAGGAGACCAATAAAATAAGACCAAATTGAAAGCACTCAATCAGTCATTCAATTGGCCCATTTGAACACAACTTAAGATAAAATTTAATACACACAATTACCTCAATAACAAATTTACTGTAAGAGCATCTCCAATGAAAAAATTATATGTGAATATAAATTAACATATTAAAGGATTGTATTTTAAAATTTATTTTTTAATCTCTAAAATAGTGAAATGTCATTAATGATATTGTGATTTTAAAAAATAATGAACAGAATTATATATTGAATGACATACAATTGTAATTTAATGTTAAATAACATATTATCGAGTTGTACGGTAAGTTCTATATTTCGTAACCTTTTTTAATAAAATATGTCATCGAGACGTAATTAACACTCTATAGTTATTAATAATGATATATAATTGTATATAATTATATTATTTTTTAAATATATTTATGATAACTATATAAAATATTTAGATTGAATTAAAATAAAAAGTGGAGTTGTCTTTTTTAAATATTATTAAAAATATAATAATGTAATATTAATTAAAAGTAAGTGATAAATATGTGGGACCCATTAAAAAGTAGGTTTATGAAGTTTATTGTTATTAGAGGTTTATGTGGGTAGGAGTAAGAATAAGGTTTTGGATGATGTGGAATGTTGGAAAATGTGAAAGGAGGTTTAGAGAGATTTATTGTTAAAGATGCTCTTATGGGATTTTTTTCTCATTAGGATTGTTACACCGCTCTTAGAATTCTTGTTGTGAAGATGAATCATGACATGAGGTAGTTGTAAAAATCATTTTCTTGATGATATCTTTTAATACAATAATTTGCCAAATTGATATTTTTATATAATTTTAGTAAATTAGTAAATGAAGTTTAGAGAACGTCAAATTAATATATCATTTACAGAAAAGTCTAACTTAGTAGAATAAAAAATTAAAAATATTCCCTTAAATCACATCCTATTTAAAAAAGAAAAAAAAATGCACATTTTATCTCGTGTACCACAAAATATTAAATTGATTTTTATCCATTATTATCTCGAATAGACCTTTTGTCTTGCATGCGCCTCTACTTGAGCATTATTGTGGTCAGTCCATGGTCAAAGCTAAGTAAGTTGAACCATCAATTTTATAACATAATTGATGAAAATCTTTGGCCCTCCTCTTATCATATCATATGGTCTACTTCAATTCACCCTTATTCATTATCTTCTTTATTTCTCCACAAGGGTCTCCATCAAATTATTCAAGGACCTTCTATAAATAAACTATCATATATGACATCATGTTACTATTAGTGTATTATAATACTCCCTCCATTTTGAAATATAAGGCGTATAAAGATTTCTCATTTTTTTTAAAATATAAGGCACGCTCAAAAATCAAGACAAATTTTTGCATTTTTTTCCAAATATACCCTCATTGTGTTGAAATTAAGGAAGTGTGGAGTGGTTGTGATTAGAGTAAATAAGGTTAATTTAGTCAATTTATTCATTAATTAATGTCTCCTTAATATTTGTGCAATAACCTTAAATGCCTTATATTTCAAAATGGAGGGAGTATTAAGTATGCATATTATTAGTAATATTTTTAAAGAATAATTTTGAAATTTAATCAATCTATTATGTTTGACCACCTTTATAATGTGAAAAAGTATCAATGTATAGAAATGCATATAATAAAGATGTAAAACGAACATGTTATAGTTTGGATTTGAATTTTGTTTAAAGTTCGTTCAATTAAAGACTCAATTCGTTAAGGCTCGAAAATAAAAAACTTTAAATAATGGCTTTATTTGTTTAATAGCGTTTTGACAAAAAATTTGCTTTTTGAGGAAGTTAGTTTTTTCATTTAGTAAAAACAGCTGACATTGATGTTTGATTCAATGGCTTTTTGTTCTAGCTTATTGGGTGAATAAGCTGAAAATGGAAATGCTAGAATTCAGAGCGTTTTGCATTAGCTGATTGAATAAATTTTTTATTTATTTCTTTACTTCTACACTAACTAATCTGGATAAATTATCGATCTATTTTTTTCTAATTTTGCACTAACTAATGAAGTTGATTTCACGTTTTTATTTTTTAGTATTGAAAAATCCACATAACATAGCATTCATTGTGAATGCTTCAAATCTCCATTTTTTAACATAACACTGAGTATTGGTTTGAAATCATTTTTTTTATGTTTAATTTATATTTTTGTTTTACTTATTACTTTTACTATAAAGAAATTTTAAGAAAATAATTTGAAAATAGTTATTATATCAAAAATATTTTTCTGTAAATATAAAAAATTAAACGAATATAACCAATGTATATATATAAAAATAATTTTCAAGTTAATAATACCAACATATTTTTACGAATCAATAAGCTATTTTTACCAAACATACTTTTGAAAACCGCTATTACTATCCGCTGGTCAAACCAGCTGATACAATGTGCTGGTCAAAACAGTTATTACAATCAGCTAACAGCTGACTACCAAACAAGGTCAATATTTTTTTATAGCTCGGTTCGCTAATATTGATAAACAAGCCAAACTCGAACTTGTTTATCGACTCATTTTATTAGTACGAGTTCGTGCTCAAAAGGTTTCGGGTTACTTGCTTTATTTTATTTATGTGTTAAAAGGTTTCGGGTTACTTGCTTTATTTTATTTATGTGTTTCCTTCTTCCTTTACTCGCTCATAAAAGTGTCCAATCGGTCTAACCAATCCTCTAGTGATAATCCAAAAAATAAAAAATAAAATGAATGAAAAAATATATAATAAAAAATAAATTATAAAAAAACAACAATTTGCATTAGATAATTATTTAATATTATATTTGTTATACAATTTAACATGAATGCATGAGCTATACAGTAGTTGACAAATCATCAGAGATTTGGGAATCTGGTCTTAACATTATATTTATATATTTTCCTATTCATGTGCCTAATGTTGTGTGATGGCCAATTTGAACGCAACTTTTTAAGGTTCATGCAAATTTATGCGTAACATATATACTGAATTTATTATTTATCACATCATTTGTTATAGCTTACTATAAAATATCCCATCCAAATTTTCGACCGACCAATTTATAAATTAAAAGAATATCACATTGCTCATTGCACATGTATTCGAAATAGCGTTTCATATACTGCACTATGCCACTAGCTCCATGTATATGATAATAAAGTCTATAAATAAATTACTATTATTTTCTTAACAAAAATGATGATTTGTTGTTTGTATAATGTAGGTGATAGAATTGATATTTTATATTGCAACTGATATTACAGATAGAAGCAAGATTTGGATATCATTTGAAACAAATTGTACAAAATGTGATCCAAATTGTGCCTATAATACAAATTGCACGAGTCAAGGTGAGACCGACTCGTTATAAATTTAACAAAGTCAAGGCTAATTTATCGTATAAATCGAGTTCGAATTTTAACAAATCGAATCAAACTCATTTGTTTGTTTCGTTTAACAACTCTACACAGAATCCACAATTCACAATACTAATTCCAACAAATAAGAAAGAAAAAAAATAAAGACACACTTTAATACACTTTTCTTTTTTTTTGGCCTCAACAAAAATGCTTTCGAGCCGAGTAAATAAGGAAATTAAACACACATTCCCTAGCTGACTTATGTACTCTTTCTACTTAAAAACACTGTTAACCTAATTTTTTCCTCTTTAATTATGACCGCAAATCTTTTTCTTTTTCACTTTTGAGTTTTTAATCTCATCCAGAAAAATAAGGTAAAAAAAATATTTAAAATAAAAAACAATTAAAACGGAACGACGTCGCTTCCACCAAATCCATCCGAGTTGGCAATTGAGTCATGTGGCCACGAGTCCCTCATCAGCTTGAGCAGCATCTGCGCCTTGCGCTTGGCCCTCTCTGTGCAGTCGCTCTGCACCACCAGCAGCAGTTGCGTCAGAACACCGGCGGCCACCGCCTCCCTCTGCGCCCCATCCGACGCCGAGCATACCGCCAGCAGCGCCCCCGCCGCGTGCTCCGTCGCCCGCTCCGACACCCCCAGGACCGCCCTCACCAGCAGCGGCACCGCCAGCGCGTGCGACGCCACCGCCGCGCACCCAGCCGGGATCCGGCACAGAAGCTCCACCGTCGCCAGAGCCCTCTCCGCGTCGCACCCCTCCAGCCCCGCCATCCTCCCGACCAGCGCCTCCGCCGCGCCGGACTCCACCGCTCTCTGCCGGTGCTGCCTCGCCAGGCACAGCGCGAACAGCGCCTTCACCCCGACTCTCACCGCCCTCGGCGACGCCAGCGGACAGTTCAAAACCCCGACCACCCCCTCGAACACGCCCTCCGCGCCGCTCACACGCGCGCGGAGCTCCGGCGACCGCGTCCCCGCCGCGACGGCCTCGATCGCCGCTGCCGCGCCGATTCGAACCTCGATCGACGAATGGAACAGTAAATTCACCAAATATCCAACCCGATCCGGATCCGAAACAACGCATACACACTCCTGCTCGGAAAACGAGAACATCGACAGGACCGCGAGCGCCTCCAGGCTCAGATCCGACGGGTCCGACCCGACATCCGCAAACAAAACCGACAGCAAAACCTCGCGCGCGCCGCTCGCCGCCATGACCGACCGATTCTTATCCGATTCGCGAGCAAGCGCTCTCAGCCTCCTCAGAGCCGAGATCCTCGACGCGAAGCTGCCCGAGCCGGACGAGGCCTGGGCCAGGAGGGTCCGGACAAGGGTCGGGTCGGCTGGCTGCTTTGGTGTCGGTATCCGCTCCACTCCGAACGAGCGGTTGGCGACGCACCAGTCCTGAATCAGGCGGCGGAGCGTGTGGTTGGGGATGAGGGTGAAATCCGTGAGGGAGACGCGCGTGACCGGGCACGTGGTGTTGCCGGTGGCAACCCAGGACTCGATGCTTGACCGGTCGTACGTCTGACCGGTACAAACGGTCACCGGGTCGCGCATGAGCTCCAGTGAGATCGGGCACCGGAAATGGTACGGGATCTGAACGCCGATATCCAGTGGCTCCAAACTGCCAGGCATGTTTTTTTTTTCCTTCTCCCCTTATTCCTTTTTCTTTTAATTAATTTAATTTTCCAGCTTGACGTGGGTGATGAACAATTTTAATAAAAAATTTGAACAAAGAATAATTGAAGAAAGTGTGATCCTAAATGAGTAAAGGACTGCAAATTCTGTTTGAGTTTGTTGGGATAAATACGAAATGAGAACAGAGGGACAATTTGCTCTGCGTGTTTTTTCGTTTCCTCTGACGGGTTTTTGTACTATTTATTCATTTTTGCTCATCGGCCACACGTGTGGTTTGTTTCACCTTGGGGGATGGTTGGGGTTCTAACCGTGGTTGGTTTTGGAGTTATATGGTCAAATGGGGAAAATGTGAGTGGGAATTAGGTGGGGTCATCATGACTCATTTTTGTTTCTTTTTTGCCCAAAGATTTACTGGTGTTAGTTCACAAATTCTCACCGTAGTCTAAACTGTTACTTGGATTCAACTTTCGTATTTTTTTTTTTAATTAAGATGCATATGTTTATTCATATTATTTAATAATATTTTAATTTTACATTACGTATATTTATACAAAAATATTTTTTTAACTAAAATTTATATTTATAATATAAGATGATATATTTTTGTTCATGTTATTTAATGAAATTTTTAATTTTAAAACTATGCATATTCATTACAAAAGTATATCTTCATCGTGTTAGCCCAACATAACATTAGTTTTACCGATATTTATTTACATCATCACTCATATTTGAATTTTAATTAAACTAGAAGTTAATCATGTGCATATGCACAGATACAAATAATAAAATATTATAAATTATATGTATAAATATTATATTTATAATTGCAAAATATATAATGTACATATTACATTTTATAAATTTGATTATTAGTAAAAATGAACAATATAATTTTACTATTTTACTTATATATAAAACACTATATAAACGATATAAAATGTATTCAATAATATTTTTTTATAAATTTACGTAATCATGACTAATTAATTAGTTGTAAAGATATTTTTTATAAGGGATTTGATTTGTTATGCCTAAATAAACTTAGTGGGATAAATTAAATATCAATTTTAGAATATATAGTTTGAAGAAAAAATTTTGCTACAAATTTTTTTATAAGTGTATAACTTTCATACTTTTTCACCAATTTATAATTAGTTGATATTAGTAGTAACTAGTGCGTGGCCCGTGCGATGCACGGGAAAACAATATTACGATTGTATTATAAATTAAATATATAAATAACATTAATTATGATTTATTCATTGTTTTTAAATTAAACCGGGTTGGACACAGTCCGACCGGAAAGACCGAGAACCGGTTTATGACCAGTCTAGTCCGCTTGAATAAAATATTTGCTCTGGAATCCGTCAACACCAGTCGGTTGGACTGGTAGGATCGATTTTCTAAATAATTTTTTTTTATATTTAAGATTATTTTAAATAAAATTACATATTTAAATAAAATAGAGATTTATAAATTATTTATCAATTAGTTTAAACATTTGAATTTATAAATTGTTTAGATATCTAAGTAACACATTTTATTTAAATTTATTACAAAAAGTACTATATATATATATATATATTGAAATGTTTATAAATTAAAATATGAACAAACCACAAGTGATTTAATAAAACAAGTTGATCGTTTCGATGACGGTTCAGTTCTGGAAACCTTATATTTACTGTATATTGATAAATATTATAATAAAATATTATTTAATTCACATAAATATTAGTAAAATGATATCTAAATATTCATAAATCATTAAACATGTTGTAATAAAAGTATTGTTAATACGATTATTTGAAGTTTGGACTACATCACATTCACGTAATATAATATTTTTAATATAAAATTTATATTTAGGTTTAATAATCGATTTTGTGTGGCCGAACAAATACATAACTTAGTCACCTGAGACCAACCAAGTTGTGTCAAATTTTTTTGACTATTTTAAATATCACCTAAAAGTAATTCAATCAACCTGGGCAGTACCCTAGTTCAATCACCCGATTGATCTGAAGAAATTTTCTTATTTTCTTTACATATTTTTAATTTTATGAAATAAAAATATTTTATGATTCATATAATAAATGTCTACACCAAATGATAGTATATTAAGATTATAAATTATATATCTAAAGATGAATAAATTATTTTTACTTTATGCATATTAATACAAAATAAACATAGTAATTTTCAAAAAATTAAGATTAACTGATTGATTATTCAATTTAAAGAATATTTTTAGCGTTCAATATTTTTTTTAAAGACACCCAAATATAAAGACTGAGATTTTAAAGTTTTTGTTATATTTTGAATTGAGATTTTAATGTTGTTCGTTGTTTCTAAGAAAAAAATAAAAATAAAAACTTAGACACTTAATAAATCTTTGCCGTATTTTTAAATAATAAAATGAACTAAAGCCCGAAATTTAAGGTAGCATTTAATACTGTATGATTTCTAAAGAAAAAAATAAGAAAAATAATAAAACTTACTATTTATAGGCTGCATTAAATATTGACCTATTTTTTTACTACTATTTTTGGTAAATGTTAGTTCTTATTATATATATATAGATCATTATATGAAAAATAAGTTAAAAACATATTATTAAATTTAAATAATGTTAAATGTAACCGTCACTTTCTAAAAATAAATAAAAAAAGAGTGAAAAAATAACATTAAATTGATAGCTTGCAATTATATATATGGGCTCGTGATTAAATTGACTGTTTTTTTTTCGGTTGTTTGCTTTTCTATTTTTAATCAATTTTTTTTTTTCATTTGTATTTTTGTCAATCTTGAATTAGTGGGTTGAGTAGACAAATTATCATAGTTGACTAACTATTATTTCAAAAGATATCATCCTAAATGCTTCTGACTAAACTAAACTAGGCAATTATATCTTTGCAACTAATAACCTGTAATATATATGGATTTGCAGTTCTAGCACTTCTACAAATAAATAAATTTCTCAACTACCACCTGATTTTGATTCATGCAAATACGAATATTGGCCAAAGATGTTTTACTAATTTAGTATACTTAATTAATACCCATCGAAATAAATGCCAGTAGGGTTGATTACTTTAAAATGGCAATTTGTTTGAGTGTTATATAAGTCTATTGATATAACCTTTAGGAAAGCTCACTAGTCAGGTCCCCAAGCAACTTTTATTTTTCTTTTTACAATTTTTCTCATCAGAAGAAAATTGGAAATGCCAGAAGGAATTTCAGATATGCATAAAAATAAAGTTACATGTAGGAAGTCTTTGTTTGTCCTTATTAAGTCATGACATTATGTTAATTCGTGCAATTTTTAGTCTTATTCTAATTTGATACTTGTTTTAGATGTATGTAATTCATTATAATTAGATCCTATTTTCAAATAAATAAATAAAAGAAAAAAAATTATGGAGAAAATGACAGTATATAGTGCTGTGAACTGTATGGGTCATGCTTCTTCTGGTATTGGTGAACTCAAAGAATGTGACCACATGCTACTATATTAGTGCTTGTAAATACTAAAAATAAATGAATAAATAAATAAATACAACACTTCTCAAACTCAAAAGTGAAAACGTGAATCAAATATTTAGAAATATTTTCATTTTCAATATTTATAGATAAGCAATATTATTTACATGTAGAAGTATAAGACAAGGCGAATTTCAAAATTTTGGTCACGACCTAAGAGAAAAAAGTGGGCTCTAGCAGTTAAAGCTATGAGAGATCATTAATTCACTAGTAAATGAACATTAGTTTTTGGGCAGTCATCTGTGGTTGGTTGGAGGTTTCAAACTCTTCATTTAACAACATTTATGTATGAATAGAGTTTCCCAAGAGAAATTCAGCACTTTTGGGACTATGCAATCAAGTCTTGTAGATGACAAACAAATGTGGAAATTTGAATCTTAGCCATTGGGCATTTTGACCAAGAATGCCTTTAATTAAGACTCTAGCGATAAGTTAGTTGCATGTATTTAGTGCCTAAGAGCTAGGAATTACCAACTAAATTCGATAATAAAAAAAGAACACCATTTATTCATTTTG